CATGATAGAGCTTATATTTGATAGTACTGTAAATCTCCTATGGCCAACTCTGCCCAATCGCCCAAATATTTTGGTTGCTATAGTTCAGAACCCACGGTATTGTGTATTGTGCTGCATCAACTCAGTCACAAGAAATTCTAGGTCCTTCTTGGCAACCTTCCTCCTCCACATGGGGTCAGGCTTGAAAGCACTGCTGTTCAGATCCTCTGCCATGTTTCTCTGGTAACTAGGTCACGTTTTATGGGTGGTTCAAGGCTTGCTGTTCCTAGCTCCATTTCATTCATTCATTCATTCATTCACTCATTCATTATGATGCATTCGTCCTCCCCCCCCACCCCTCGCCCCCCCCCCCCCAGCACCCCAGCCAATTTAAACCTTGCAAACGTGATTTGTTTCACCTTTTGCAGCAATGACAGCTATGGTGAGGAGATTTAATCTATCCTGAGAATCTCACACATGATGTAAATTTCACCACAAGTACTAAATCTGGAAAAAAGCTTGTCGTAGCAGCGATCAAAGTGTAGCATTTGGTAGCAAGCTGGGACCAGGCTGTTTGCCTGCCTGCCTTCTCAATTGTAAAGAGCATGGGGAGAGGGAGATAAAGAGAAAGTGAATCAAAGAGCTTTGCATCGAATCTTCAGATCAAGAAAATTTGCTGTCAGAGCGAAAGGCACTCTGTGGTAGTTCATATTGAACATGGAACATTAAGCCACTTCTGCCAAATCAACAACTTTTTCAAACATGAATTAATCGAAACAAATATATTAAAAATGATGGTAATAAATCTCCAATATTCATGCTCTACAGTTCACTTAATATCCCACAAAGAAGATATTTGCAATAGCCAATTGGGTTATGCACTGATACGTTTTAATGCTAAAATCATGTGCATTAGAATATTAAATTATAATCCCTACCCTATGGTGCTTTATTAAATGCAACACCAGCTGAAACACCGAAGACAGTGATGTATTCAAAGCAAAAGAACTAAATTTGAGGAACAATTAATAAAACGTTTACAAGTAACATTAAAAAATCCATTGAAAATGTCTTCTCTTCTAATATAGGGCCTATCACACATAACTTACCGCATGAAATATGAAACAAGAACCAGTGTTCTTTATTTTCTCATTCAATGGCACCATGTTTTCTCAAGGTAGATCACTTTACAATAGATTCTGTGAAGCGCTTTGAGACTAGAAGACTTGAAAAGCGCTATATCAAATGCAACAACAACAACAACAAGATTCCATTTATAGAGCGCCCTTCACGTCGGGAGGACATCCCAAGGAGCTGGACAGTTGGGTCAGGACCCGAGCAGGGGGGAAATGGTCAGGGTGAGGGGAAGGAAGGGAGGGAGCGAGGAAGGGGTAGAGAGTCGAGAGGGGAGCCGAAGGCACGGTCAAAGAGAAAGGTCTTGAGACCGGCCTTGAAGGAGGAAAGGGAGGAGGCGGCGAAGGCACTGGGGGATAGAGTTCCAGAGCCTGGGGGCTGAGAGGCTGAAGGCCCGGCCACCGATGGTAGGGCGGTTGGGGCGGGGGATGTGGAGCAGACCGGAGCCAGAGGAACGGAGGGTACAGGCAGGTAAGTAGGGGGATAGTAGGTCGGAGAGGTAGGAAGGAGCAAGGCCGTGAATGGCCTTGTAAGTGAGGATGAGGATCTTGAATTCGATCCTCTGGGGGATGGGGAGCCAGTGGAGGCGAGCGAGGGTGGGAGTGATGTGGTCGCGGTGTCTGGTGCGGGACAGTACATGAGCTGCAGCGTTCTGAATGGCCTGCAGCTTGTGGAGGGAGGTGCCGGGAAGGCCGGCGAGGAGAGAGTTCCCATAGTCCAGCCTTGAGGTGATAATGGACCAGAGTTTCAGCAGCGTGAGGGGTGAGGTAGTGCCGTAGTCTGGCGATGTTTCGGAGGTGATGGAAAGCGGTGCCAGTTGTGGCGCGGATATGAGGGAGAAAGGATTATTATTCCCCGCCCTTTCTGTTCTGCATTATTAACACCTCTATTCACCTGCTTTGTTGCAATCTCCCCCTTTGTTCTGCGTCATCAACACCTCTTTAACCCATCATCCCCTGTCCTCTACCCCATTTTCTCCTCTGTCTTCCTTGCCCTGCCTCCCCCCTCTCTGTTAGCCCTAAAAAGCCTCTCCCTCCCAACATGCCCAGGTTCTGACGAAGGGTTGTGGACCCAAAATGTTGACTCACTTTCCTTTCTCCATAGATGCTGCCCGACCTGCTGACCGTTCCCAGCGACTTCTGTTTTTGTAAGGATTATTATTATTAACTTGATGAAACATGAACATTAAAGGGTCAAAGTTTTTCAGAAATTTAATGAATATGAATTCTACTGGCCCAGAATTCATTTTTGAGCAATTGGAGTTACAGTAGAATATTTCAGTATCTATAAAGTCCAAGTAAATTTTAAGATATTATTCATCGAGACAAAACATATCAGTAACTTTTTCATTCCTTCTCTGTAATTTCATTTTATTAGCTTGTGTTCCCAGTCAGTACAAGGCAAATCAGGGAGAAATGGTGGTATGTATGCATTTCAAATTTGTTTTTTGGACCAGATTGAGAGGATCGTCATTGCCAATTCATGTATGTTTTATATACTGTATAAACAAAAGCTATTTGTTGTTTTGTGGCATAATTTCACGTATACTCAGGCAAGAAAGTGGTTGGTAAAACAGCAATAGTTTTACTCCGAAGGAAACGTGTATCTATGAAGAAAACTTATACAGGTATACAAGATATTTAATGAAAGAGAGAAAGCTACTGTGGATCAAATCATTCTGTTCCACCAGAGGCTGAATGTATTGAACAAGACATCATAGGATCACGGTTGTGCAAAGATAATTTAGGCAGAACACCAGGAGGGCATTTCTTAACACAAAGGGCAATCAACACCTGGAATGAGTTACCTTTTTACCAGACCTTTTAAGACACAACTCAATGGTGTAATGGAAAGACAGCAGAGCTGGTAATTTGGAAGTACAAGATTCAGACCACATCGATTTCTTCACTCAAACCCCCTCACGATTTTATAAAGTCAAATGACGTTTCGCCAATGAGCCCTGTGACCAGATTGTTGGTGTTCCCCAACTGGGAGACAGGAGTTTGAATTCAGATCACGTTTTTGTGTGAATGAAACAGGTGGAATTTGGCAGATACCATGTGCTGCATGGGCTCCTGGCAGAAACACCAATGAGCAGCACTGAAGGCATTCGACCATGCAATGCTCACACTTTGCAAGAAGATAATGTGGAGGTAGCAGAGAAAATTCAAATGAATAAAATGGACTTCACATTTGTGGTTTTATATTGGTTTGTTAACACCACTTATTAAAAGGTATAAATCAAAGGAATTAAATCACCAATAATTTGCTAAAAATAGCAAGTTATACAGTGCTGTATCACGTCGTCGAGACATCTCAAAGCGCTTCACAGAATATACTGTATGTTTTGTGGGCGAAACTTTAGCAACGAACATGGGGACAAATGAGAATGAAAATCTGCTCTGCAATTAATAAACACAGTAATGCAAGGTTGAGAAACATAAAAATTGGGATCTATTATATTCTATCGTGACTAATATAGAAGTAAATGAAAAGAAAAATCACTGAATTCAGAAAATTACTAGCATTATGATTCCAATTTATGCACTTATACTGAACTCTTATTATAAGTGAAAGGAAACATTGAATTAAAAAAAGTTCCTGATTTACACCAACCTAAATGTGAACTCTAGCTGTTTCAGTTAATGATTAGGAGACATGCTGTTCTACAGTAGTCGTCTTGAGATACCTCAATGCTCACTACAGCACTTGTTTAGTAGAAACTATAAAACCTTAATAACAGGTTCACCTTGATAACTAAAGTGTAATCGAATGTAGGCTGAAAGATGGGTTGATGCCAGGGCAAGCGAGGGAAGGAAATAATGCAAGCAGTTTGGGGGAAGAATGTTTTTACATGCTCAAAATAGATATGTAGGTGCTCTATTCGCAAATAAAAAGGCTCTCGATTATCTACTGCATAAAATTGCTACTTAACATCTGAATTCTAAAAACACATTTATGCAAAACATATGAAAAAAGCATACGATTGCAACGGCACATTGTTCCCACACACTCGCATTGCTTGAAGAGAAGCTATGGTGAGTGCAGCCAAGAGAAAGAGAGCAAGAAACAGCTCATATGTGGGAGCGGGGAGGAGGGGAATGAAAATTGTGCTCAGCACTAAGTAATGAAATTGGGCATCATGACCCTTTCCTCAATTGGATGATCAGAAAATCCAGGATCATGCAACTGGAAGCATGGCACGTGAATACAGAAATGTAACTTTAAAGAAGCAGCGTTTTGAGGGCCATACTGATTACTACAAAGCACAATTATGCATAATGTACCAAATACACCATTGTGTTGTTTTAGATGGAACATTAGTCTGTGGCATAATATTTTCCAATTCTTCTCATTCTCCAAACAGAACAATGTTTGCTATAAAACCCACATCCTTTTAAACACCACCACATTTTATCATAGAAATATATGAGTATCAGAGGGAAGTCGCTGGTGAAAACCTTTCTTTTAATAAAAATAGTGAAACAAGTGCAGATTTGATATACACCATCTGTTGGGCCTCGTTTGACAGGAACTACATTATTTTGGGGGTTTCTTTGCAACCATGTGGTAACACCACCTTTCCACCAGATGGCAAAGTATTCAAAACAATCAACTGATAGCATCTGAACTGTTCGACTCGGACATCCCTTTGGAGTGTGTCATCATATTTGGCAGCTGAGAAGTATTTACAGCTCAAAGCATTACTTTTTAAAACCGTTAACGCTTTATGCAGTTTTATGCAGACACCTTTTGGGGCTGCGCAGGCTGTTTATCAATAATACGCAAAGTTGCTAATGCCCTGATACGAAATACGTGACAGCATTTGACTTCAGTTTCAGCACAACATTGGCAGCCAGCCTGGTCTAGTCCACCCGCTTTAGTCTGCGGCTGACTCACTCATTGTACAGCAAGAATCCGCCTAAACTGAGAACCAACTCAGGTTTGTCACTCTACAACATGTTATGTTTACCAATACAACATGTGAAGTCACTGTAAAACATCCACCTGATGTGGTTGACACTATACAAATATAAATTGTTGCTGAAAATATCCAATATTGTAAATGAACCATTTTGCAATTCAGGAGCAAGCGATTTTATAGCAACAGTAAGTGCAAAATGCTTCATTATCATTTTGTGTTTGTAATCTAAAAAGAGTAACATGCCTTCAATGTGTTATGATTGCTTTTGAGATTAGATTGTGTTCCTAAGATATATACAGTGGTAAAGGTACCAATTCACCAGGAAGGTGACAGGTTTTCTTCTACCTTAAAAATCTCTCAGAAATGCCCCACCAATTTCATGGCTTACTAGACAGAGGTAACCCATCTTCAAAGAAGCATAAGTAGTAGATCACAGAGTATAGCAAAACCAGCAATGGTTGAAATTCTGTTCAGTCAAGCTTTACAGAACATATGCAGTTAGTATGTTAGAACAATAAATTTGAACATATGCCTTTATTTTTCTTGCTCTACCAACATTCATCAATCATTGGCAACTCTAATTATAAGCTTCGCTGGGTGCAGAACATCATGCTGGACATTAGGTAAGCTTAACTTATACTTTCATGGAAAAGAAGTCCATCCTTCCCCAGGAAAAATAAGTCGTTCCCAAGTTCCTCCATTGGAACTTATTATGTTTGTTTCGTAGACCAGAAGCTGTTCATTAATCCCAGTTTGTGTTTATTATGGGTGGGGAGGAAGAAGCACAAACCAAACCGAAAACTTGTCCACCTTCCTGCTGGAATGGAGAGAAGGACTTCAAAGGATTAGGTTCAGAGAGGTTTGGAACTCTTCAGGATTATTGTTATTTTAAACATCACTAAATGTCTCCCCCTCCAATTAGAGCAAGTCACTGTACCACAACGATGTCCAAAGAGATTTGAAGAAGTTAACATTACTTTGCAGGTGTTTGCCTACAAAGTAATCACTACACTTTACAGTCAATCCTGTTGAAGCTTTCTGAGACATCCTCCCGATATGAAAGGTGCTATATTAAATGCAAGAATTATATATTATTATTATTAATAATAATAAACTGGTGAATCACCTCTTGGCTATTTGTAAGATTTTGCTGAACAAAATGGCTGCCAGGTTTACTTACAAAAACAGTCACTACACTTGACAGTAATTGTCAAGAACCTTTCACATTAGTAGGAAATCCCTAAGCACTTCACAGGATACACTGTAAATTGAAGTGACTGTGTTTTTGGAAGCAAACACAGCAGCCAATTTGTGCATGACAATGTCCCACGAACAGCCATGAAAAGAATGACCAATTTTATTTGGGGGGATTGTTGGCCAGGACACTGGGAGAAACTCCCTTCTCTTTTCAAATAGTGCCATGGGATTTTTACAATGTCCAGCTGAACAGGCAGACGGGATCTCAGTTTAATGTCTCATCTGAAGGACGGCACCTCTACCAATGCGATGCACTCCAAACACTGCAATATAATGTCAATCTGGACTGTGAACTCAAATTCCCAGCGTGGCACTTGAACCCATAACTTGTTAACTCAATGAGAGTACCGACAACTGAGCTAGGCTGACACAAATTATTGTTCATTACATTGGATCATGAAACATTGATTTGATTAAGTAATGATAGTAGGAAAACCAACTTTAAAATTTGCAATGCTTTGTGAATTCTTTACAACCTAGATTGAGCGCAATCACAATAAGTTGTATTCAGAAGCCATTTGCAAACACTCTTGTTTCAAAATATTACCATACATTATGGCACCTTCTGTAATGATCAGCACATTGCATTGAGATCCATTTTTACAACCACATTCTATTTCTCCTGTATTAAATGCGACAAACTTCTGAATTATTTTAGAATTTTATTCAAATTTAACTACAATGATTTTTTTTAAAAAGTGGCCAATTTGACAAAATTCAACATACCTGTATTTTAGTCACAAATTAGGCCAATCAGTATCAGACATTACAATAACAAGATAATATTTACATAAAAAACAGATTCACTTTAATCAAAAAGAACTGATTTTAAATTGAACATGAGCAACGTTTAGAAGATGGTCGACATCAAAGCCAGTCGTATGTTCTGGAGTTACTAATAATAATAAGAATTCTTGCATTTGATATAGCACCTTATCACGTTATTGAGATGTGTTAAAGTGCTTTGCAGGATACACTGTAGAGTGGAGTGACTGTGTATTTTGTGGGCGAAATGTGGCAGCCAATTGTGCACAGCAGTGTCCCACCAACAGTCATGGTTTGAGTGACCACATTATTATTATTTTAGAGGGATTATTACCGGGTTCCTATTTACTTATTAATGCTGTGTGGGGCTTTAGCTGAAAAACTTCAGGCAAAGCAATAAAATAAATAGATTAGTCCAACACCTCCCCCCCACCCCAGAGAATGCAACCTTGAAAATGCATATGTAATGAATGCGAATTGCCTTATTACATACTGTAATTCGTGTAAGATCCCTTCCAAATAAATGATAACTTCTCCTCACACTCCACAGACAAAATAATTACATATTCTACTTTATTAGATTATACCTCCACACGCACACCCATTAGAGTGAGGATTTAAATGTTCAGTTTATCACTCTGGCAGTGGAGGAATTATAGCACAATTTAATATCACCTTTGGCGATTTATAGGGGGGATGTGGGGGCTATTCAACTGTGACAATGCAGTGCTATAAATTCCCAAACTATCAGAAATACAGCAGTATAATGTAAAGCCATAGTGTCATGTTGGTTAATGGGTTATTTGAAGAAAAGAGCCAGGGCTATTATGGTTATAAACATAAGCTGAGCTGAAACAATTTTCAGGCTGTTGGAAGGAGTTGGGATTCAGCTCTACAGTAAGAGTACTTGACCTGGCTAACCCTGTGGTCCCCACACTGGGCTCTCACGTGCGTGTGTGGCTGACACACATCTTGAAGGGCCTCTGAGAGCTATTCTGCTGTAGGGTGAAAAACCCCAGACCCAACTGCCTTTAGACACTTGCCTCTGTTGCATCTCCAAGAATTGAGCAGCATGTCACCACGTTGCTCTTCAGTTCAAGTCTAACAAACAACCCGGCTTCTCACTCACTCCAACCCTCCAGGGGCTAAAGGACTTATAACCCCAGGTACATCTGGTCGAGTGGAAAGAGGGATTTGGATGAGACAGGTTACCTTGAGGAATGCTGGACGTTGGAGAGGGATTTGGTGTTGGGACTGTCTCAAGTCAGGTAATTGCTGGGGAGTGAACTGACTGTTATGATTGTATGATTCAATTTGTGCACAGCAAGTTCCCCACAAACCCACAGCCATGAACTGAAAGGATCAAATTATCTGGGGGAGTATTGGCCAGAACCCCAGGGAGATTAAAAGAAATAAAGATTGGTACAAAAAGTAGCCATGGGTGTGATCCACATACACAAGGGAACAATGTTTTAAAACTGTGTGATACCCAGAGATGTTAAATGTTGAACAATCTCTATAGTAAATGTCATACTGCAATACACAGGGTACGATTTACATTCATTAACACAGCGAGAGAGGAAAACATTATCTTTCAATTTGACTAGGAGTGCCTTCACTTCTGTGACTTTTACAAGAATTAGTCTTGACTCTTTGTCCAAATGGAAATACCATCTCCATTAATTATGGGAAAAATGCCATCTATTAATGAGCTACTCTGGCTCATAAGAGACTCTGAAAGTATACTACTAAGTCGTTAAAAAGCCTAAGAACAACAACAACAACAACAAGATTCCATTTATAGAGCGCATTTCACATCGGGAGGATGTCCCAAGGCACTGTACAGTTGGGTCAGGACCTGAGCAGGGGGGAAATGGTCAGGATGAGGGGAGGGAAGGGAGGGAGTGAGGAGGGGGTAGAGAGTCGAGAGGGGAGCTGAAGGCACGGTCAAAGAGAAAGGTCTTGAGACCAGCCTTGAAGGAGGAAAGGGAGGAGGCGTCGAAGGCACTGGGGATAGAGTTCCAGAGCCTCGGGGCTGAGAGGCTGAAGGCCCGGCCACCGATGGTAGGACGGTTGGGGCGGGGGATGTGGAGCAGACCGGAGCCAGAGGAACGGAGGGTACGGGCAGGTAGGTAGGGGGATAGCAGGTCGGAGAGGTAGGAGGGAGCAAGGCTGTGAATGGCCTTGTAGGTGAGGATGAGGATCTTGAAGAAAACATAGAATACATATGTCTGAGTGTTAATAATTCAAGTTAACCTGATGCTAGACGATACAGGGATCTATACAAAGTGACATAGACTTAAAATCAGAATCTCACAGTTAGAACTGTAGCCAGGAAGTTTTTCTTGACACAGAGGGTTTGTGGAGATGTGCAATGTTCTGCCTCAGAAAGTTGTAGAGATAGGGATGTTAGAAAGGATTATTAATTGGATTATTGATTTAAAATGTTTCAAAGAAAGATAGACAAATACTTGGATAGTACACGCCTAATAATAATCCCTCCAAAACAAAACAATAATAAATTGGTCATTTCAATCCACGACTGTTTGTGGGACACTGCTGAGCGAAATTGGCTGCCGTGTTTCGCCCACACATATACGGTTAATTCACTTTACAGTATATTCTGTGAAGCGCTTTGAGACATCTAGAAGATGATGATGATTATTATTATTAAGGGTTTGGGCCAAAGGGTGAGGCCATGCAATTAAAAGATCTACCAATACCTGCTAAACTAGTGGGTGGTGACATATGGAGATATTTTGCTAAAAATGTTAAGAAAACAATAACTTCAAAGCAATTTCAGCCACACACAATGAAAGAGTTTGGGTGAGCCAAACAGCTTGTCCTGGATATCTATTATTTTCACCTGTATTTGGAGCTATGAACCACATATTTGAAAGCATATCAAGTACACGGGGAAGACCTCATCAACATGAATTGCTAAAACAGCAGAATCGCCAACTTATAGCGTGTAGGTTTCAGTTGTGTTCTTCGGTTGTTAGATCCAGATTTTGTTTCTATCTGACCGTCTCTGACTTGCTGCCTAACCGCGACTCGGTTGAACACATAACCCCAGAAAACATAACCCTCATACTTTTGCATGATTCATTTCAGATCAAAGGCTCGTTTGTGTATGTGTGTGTGTGGGGGGTGGGTGGGGGGTGGGGGGTGGGCTGAGGGAGAACCATACAAATCGTGTTTAGTGATAGAGACAGTGTCTGTGTATTGCTGTAGTACTACTACTACTACTGCTGTGGAATCATTTAGTGATGCCAGTCTCTGTGCATTAAGCTTTGGGATTTAATATGCACATTTGAATTAATTGGACCATTTTCAGGCTGGGTGTGCATATATTTTTTTTTGGGGGGGGGGGGTTTAAAAAAAAGTAAGGCACCAATAGCCAGATATAGGGCAATGACAGGCGTGTGTTAATGAGCAGACAACCCATTTTTTTTGTTCTCTCTTTCCTTTCCTCCCCCAAAGCTTTGTCTCCCCTGCACCCTTCTGTTTATTCCTGCAACCCAGTGCATGTGTGTGTGTGTGTGTGTAACAGGAATATACGGGCACTTGATTTGCAGGAGACGAGGAGATCTGATTCCCAGCCACAGGCAAAGCTATGGGAATGTAGCATCAGCACCAAAGGCACTGACTGACTTGCTCTCTTGCTCTGCACAGCAGCACAGCCTTTTTGGACCAGTCGACTGGACCATCAGCACCTTGGAGAGAGAGAGAGAGAGAGAGAGAGAAAAAAGATAGAGAGGAAAAAAAAGAAAGAAAGAAAGAGCTAAAAGGATCAAACATGTCTTCCAAGGAAAGACAGAAAGGGAGATTAACGAAAGACAGTGTTACTCTGCTGCCTTGCTTTTATTTCGTGGAGGTAAGTGAGAGAGAGAGAGACACACACACACACACTCACACACACACACACACACGTTGATGGCTAAGACTGGTTTTGGTTGCAGACAGAGCAGGTAAAGGAGAGCATCACTGAAACACAGTGTCTCTTGTCTTTCTTTCTTCCTTTCTTTTTTTCTCTCTCTCTTTCTCTCTTATTATTATTATTATTATTATTATTATTAAATGTCAGATTGCCAATGTGGGAACTTTAAAACTGCACCTTTTCGAGTCTGGTTGATACCCAACGACAGGTATATATATATGTATATATGCATATATATATATATAGTATATATGCATTTTTTTCGGGGTTATTTGTGAAATGCTTGTTTTTTTTGCCTCCCACCCCCCTCCCTCCCTCCCTCCATGCAAAAAAAAAAAACCAGGAGAGAACCATGTTTTCTCAGCATCAGGTAAATCTGCATGGATATCACGTCAGCCAGTGATCCATCCAACTGGTAGTAAAGGCACATACACACTCACACACACACACACTCACTCACTCACTCACTGACTGACTCACAGGGGATATTTTCAGGGGTCAGCTTGACATCCTGTCAGTTGTTTCATCCCTCAAGTTCAATTGAATGTTTTAAGGTGAGTATCTTGTGTGTTTTTGCACATCGAACCCGAGAGAAAAAAAGAGAGACAGACAACTGACTTGATTACTGACCAGTAGATTTGCGACGCCGTCGGTATTTATCGTCTTAAGAGTTTCTCGCAGGCTTTGAGAGATCAGCTGTTTTCGCTACCATTAGCTCAGTCTTGTCCTTGAACTGCACATCTTCCCGGATCGTTCAAATGCATAAAACCATTTGCAATGCAACAGGAACAGTTATGGAGGGTGTGTGGGGTGGAGGGGAGTGTGTGGGGAAGAACCCCAAAACAATTCGTAATAGTTGATATTGTGAACAACAGAATGGGGGAGAATTAGAACCCCATCCTTCATATCGTATTAATATATTAATAATGATAATCATTCGTTTGGCCACTCAATCCACGACTGTTTGTGGGACGCTGCTGTGCCCAATTGGCTGCCTCGTTTCGCCCACAAAACATACAGTCAATTCACTTTATTGGTATGTTCTGTGAAGCGTTTTGAGACGACTCGAGGACGCGATAAGACGCTGTATAAAATGCAAGGATTATTATTATATCAGCAGAGACATGCATCATACTTATACTGTACTAGGATTTTTCTAACGATAGGCTATATGCACTGAAATAGATAGAAACAGGAATAATCATGCATGAGCAGTAGCACTTATCACCGTCTTACTCCCTTTGGAACACGTTTGTGTAGTTTATTACTTATTTAAAAGAATTGTTTAATCTGTGAACCTCTTCTGCTCTGTGCGTAGCTAGGACTATGGCTTCACATTGCACAAGCCACTTGTACCTGAAAAAGTGATGACTTGCTGTTTGCAGGTTTGAAAACACCAGTCTTTCAATGTTACACCTTATGTCTAATGTGGCAGAATATATCCTGTTAATAGCTATGTAATACATGCTACAACTTTTTTTGGGGTCAGCCAGGCGTGTTGACATGTGTGGAAACCCATCACCATGCTTAAGAGTATCCAAACCAAATGGAAAGTTCCATGCATCCCACCTACACATGGAAATCCCAGAGATGTTAATTGGAATGGAATGTGCACTCTCTTCCTGGAGGAATGCACATCTTGCTGAGCTCATTCCAATAAGTATTAAGTGTAGGTTGGCATGAGTCTTGGGGTGCCCAGAATGTGCGTTGGGGTACTAGTGGAGTCTACTACATAGCTTGCAGTATCACAACATGAGTATCGGACTCCAAAATAAAATTGTGAAATACTCTGTCATGATCACATGATCAGAATATTATAAGAGAGAATTACAAGATAACAAGAAGGAAGAAGGTTCATCTCAACCTTCCAAAACATCCTCCTTAGCATCTTCCTAATGCCGTGTCAAGATGTTTTTTAAATGAGTCCAGCATCTGACAACAGTTCCAACTGTTAATTATCCTCTGTGTAAAGGAGCACTCTCAAGTGTTTAGGTACAAGCGCTCTTCACAACCCTAAACTTGTGCCCTCTTGTCTGCTCTTTGGCATATCTGAAAGTATTGTTCTGGTTTTATGTTCTCTATCCCATTTAGTATCTTGTGTATCTTTATTTGGCCCCTTTGAGACTTCTGTGAAGCGCTTTGAGATGTCTTGAAGATATGATAAGGCACTGTATCAAATGCAAGGATTATTATTATTAAAGAGCCCAGTCTTACTTAGTCCTTCCTCAGTACTCATCCTTCTCACAACATAATATGATACTATATATTTCCATTATGTTTGCAAAGTACAATTAAAGTTTTTCCCTTTCTCATTGCTGGGTTAGGACTAAGACTGCTCCTCAGATAAATTTTCCACCACTGTGATCTCCGAAAAGTCAAACCATCTAGTAAATCTTGGGTATACTATATTATGAAACTATTTTGTATCCATCAATCTGCCTTCAAAAACCTGAAAACCTGTACCATTTGGAATCTATACAAGCAGATCAGATGAAGCACTGATTTGAAAAAAATATATAAGAAATATACTTATAGAACCACAAAGACCAACGAGTATATCATTCAAGGATAGTATTATGCCAAATATTGGGGTTTGAAAATAAATCAAGTTTCTAGTAGTAGGCTCCTTATGTGATTCAACTAGAGTGATGTTATTCTAATAAATGATATTGTAATGTATGATTAGTAAAGAAGATACACCAGGAATATTTTTTCTTAGCTAATAAAAGGATGTATCATATATTAATAGGCAATAATACAAAAAGAGCACAAAAATATTATAGCCCAAATGTTATTTTTTTTTACCTTGCTTGTAGAAGCAACACCTCTTATCAGTAATGTATGCTTTCTAACATTCAAAGTTATTCAGAGTAGTTCTGTTCTTATTTAATCCCTCAAGTGTTGTGGATATGTTTAAATATAGGGACAGCATTTGAAACAATATTTGGTGGTGAATTCACTTATTGTTTCTGCCAAAAGAAGTTGACCCCATGTCCAGATTGGACATAAAACAACAGATAAGTGAAGAATTTTTAAGCTAAGACAAGTTGGAATAAAGGATTGTAACAAACAGAGCAGAAGTAATGTTAAAATAAAATAAATCAATTTGTGTACTTCCTTTTACAATCTTGGATCACACATGAAGAATGGCCACTTAAACGAGAGACAATTAGCTAACAAGCCTCCTTCTGTACTGTAAATATTCCACAATAGGGAAGAAGAGAGACTAAGAGAAAAGGGATGAGATCGAACATAAGCAAAGTGTTTAATTTTTATTTTCTGTTCCAAGTTGTTCTTTTTGTTTTCCTCTCTCCCAAGCTTTTTCCTTCTCTCTTAATGGTGCGAGCTCCTGCTAGGGAAGAGTTTCACGAGTTCATCTTAGTCATTTAATGTGTCTCGCCTATTTCAAAGAAAACAACTGCTTTGGTTAAGATTACGCTATAATGGAATGTTTAAATAGTGCTGATTTTCTAGTATTTTAGGATGTCAGTGTGGCTCAGTTGGAATTGCTCCTCCCTCACTTCTGGGTTAGAAGGCTGTGAGCTCAAAGCCCAACATTGGGTCATGAGATTAATAGTCTAGACTGACAGTCTAGTGAAATGTCTAGTGAGTGCTGAATTATCAGAGGTGTGGCATCGACTCTTGGGATAGAGAAAAGATCTCTTTTTTGTGCCTATTTTAAAATTCCTTAGAATATTTGTGGAGTCCTGTAGCTCAGTGGTTACAGCACTCGCCTCCCAAGCGAGAGACCTGGGTTTGATTCCCAACAGGCTGAAACCTTGGGCAAATTTCCTTACTCCACATGCCTAATAATAATCCCTCAAGAAAAAAAATAATAAATAGATCATAAATAAATCCACGACTGTTTGTGGGACACTGATGTGTGCAATTGGCTGCTGACTTTCGCCCACAAATATACAGTTAATTCACTTTACAGTCTATTCTGTGAAGCGCTTTGAGATGTCAAATGCAAGGATTATTATTATTATTATTATCTTCCTTCTGCTCTCTTGCCCAAGTCATTGCTCTTCATGTGTGAACCTAGATCACAAATGTCAGTAAACTATCTTTGACTTTGATATAGGGATGGGTCATTACTGCTAAACCTGTTCCTAGACCCTACCAGATATATGCACTTCCTATTCAGGGATCACTTGTTGACAAATGGAGGGAAACCTGGCTGTTATTGGGTGATCCCACTAGATTGTGCCCCAGTTTAGATGGTCTTCTTGTTGAGATGGTTTGATGAATGCAGCATTCAGGGCAAGAGCTAAAATTGTAAAGAAACGAAGAGCTCAAGGAGATAGGAGTTTCTATAGACTTGCCAGCGGTTTATGAATTAACTGTTATATCTTTAAAGCAACGTGATATGGGTGCAAAATAAGAAGATTGAGTAAAAATGCCATTGAACATTATGTGTTGCGCCTGTAGCAATAGAGGAGTTTTACAGACAACTAAATACGGGGGGAACTACATAATGGTTTGTGTCCATAGGTTCAGACCCCTGTGTTAAAACATTAGTGTAAAAAAAGGTTGATTTCTTGTATGTTGTCAGAGAGCCTTTGTTAATACATAATAATAAAATAATCCTTGCATTTGATACAGTGCCTTATCACGTTTTCGAGACATCTCAACACGCTTCACAGGATATACTGCTAAGTGAATTGCTTTGTCGGCAAATTATACACAATTATAAAAGGTAAACCATTAGTGTCCAATATCGACAAAGGCTCAATAGAATTTTCCCCATATCTCTCCACTGTATTCTCATTCATTTCATGTCTTTTTGTGGGAAATTGCTGCACGCAAATTAGCTGCTTCATTCGCCTGCAGGTAGACAGTCACTACACTTTACGGAAAGTTCTGTGAATCGCTTTGAGATGTTCCAATGTGATAAGGCATTATATCAAATGCAATTATATTTAACATCAATATTA